ACACACACACACACACACACACACACACACACACACACACACACCATAGTTATAGTTGAGGTTTATTCAGGCAGGGACAGTGGGGGAGATGCAGGACAGATAAGCAGTAGGTCTTGTGGGACCTTGTTGGCCACTCTAAGGAAATCTAAGAGTCATCTAAGGGCAGTGGGAACCACTGGTCACTGATGGGTTTTAAGGAGGACATAATGCATGTTTTTCTTTTTTGTTTTATGTTGCTTTTTGAGACAGAGTCTCACTCTGTAGCCCTGGCTGACCTGGAACTTGTAGAGAGCTTCCTGCCTCTACAGAGTGCTAGGATTACAGCCTGGAGCTACCACACCCAGCTGAGATTTGCATTTTAAGTAAATCTCTCTGCTTGGGGTGGGGCCAATAGGTTGGCCATCTGCAAGATTACAATAGACCAGTGGAGTTAGGAGCTACTGCTTTTACCCAGGGTAGATATGATAAGGGCCAGAACCAAAGTCAGCAATGGCTTACAGTGAACAAGCACTTAACCTGTGGCACTAGGCTCTGTGTTAAATATTTTAAGTATTTTCCCATTTCTCCCTCCTAGCTACCCTGACAGGAGTTGCATTGATTCTTCTCCTCTCCATACTACATACAGATGGGGAACAGAGGTTAGTAAGTGGGAGAAAGAGATCTTAAATCCAGCCACCCTGTCTTCTGCACCCATTGATTTAACCACTGTGCTTGTCTGCTAAGTTATCAAGGTAATGTATGGAGACAGGCTGGGAGTCCATAGCTGGCTAGAAGGTGAGCCTACTCTGACATCAGAGGGAGAGAGAAAAATAAAATCCTCCTACTCAGTCTCTGGGCTGGACAGTAATCCAGACACACGAGCAAGTTTTTTTGTCCCCTATATTACAGGTCTGGGATTCCAGGACCATTTCCAAGTCAAGGAACAGGATTCCTGAATCACTGTTACTGTCACCATGGTCCTTCCCACAGGGTGATGATGACACAAGGCTTGTTGCCATCAAAAGCATTCATTGAAGCTGGAATCACCATCACTGCCTTATCTTTCCCTTGTAGGAGCTCTGGAAAAGGGGCCATCCCACACAGTAAGGACCTGGGAGAGGATTTTTGTGGCTTCCCCTGTCTTTCCAGGATTCTGCCTTTCACAGTGGAATCACTGGGTTCAGCCTGGAAGGGGAGGACACTCCTCTTGTGTCACATGTGGGTGGACTAGTTCAGCAGTGGTCATCTCTGGGTCAAGCCCTGGCCTTCACTTGTCTGAGGTTTCCTGGGGAACCTGAGGGGAGCCAGAGTCTCTTTGGGGTAGAGCTGAGAAAATAGGCCTGTTCTCTGGTATATGATTTCTACCCTGCAATGTGAGTTCTTTTGTGTTTCCCCAGGACTACCATTTGAGGCACTATGCCTCCCCCTACACATCTGAGTGAATGTTTCTAGGGGCCAGCTGATGTCAAGAGACCCCAGGACTGTGCGTTACACTGCTGATTCATCCCACGGCAGTGGACATCTCGACCTGTCCCCGGAGCTTCACTTTGTCTTCTGTAGATCAGGGTGTTGGCTTTATTTTTTTAAATAAATAAAGCAGAACCTGACTCACAACTCGAGAGGGGCTACAGGCTTGCTCGGAATCTTCACTGTAGCCATGGCAACAGAGCCATCCATGAACACTTGAAAATGTCATTATCAACTGTGACCTTGTGTATTCTTTCTCACCTCACAGCAGCAACAGCCTCGGGGCCTCCACAATTCTCTGACCTTTGGGGTGGGAGCTGGGTAAATGACACAGCACCTGGATTCCCCCCAAAAGCAGAGAGTTGAAGTAATAACTTCAAGCACTCATTCTTGTCTAACCTGCCTACCACTTGTATGTCCATCTGGAAGGACTAGGGGAAAATCTCTTTCATGCTGGGATGGGCACTAAGGGTGGATATGAAGTCTACACTCTGGAGTCCCAAAGTCTGTGGTTTCTATTTCTAAGGTTGCATGGTCCATAGCTTAGGAGGTCTAGAGTTTGAATAATGTACACAAGGCTGATGGTGAGGACAGTCAAGATTAAATGTGATTTCAAGCAGATGTGATATCCTGTGCATCTTGCTTCCAGGTTCTTACCATAACTACTTACCCAGAGACAATTTAAATTAATGAATTTCAATTCATGAATAATGATGACATCTAGTACATGTGGAATGTCAGACACTCTGCCAAGCACTTTAACATTTAATTTCATGCAGAATATATACAATGACCTCTGTTTTACAGGTGAGAAGACTGAAGCTAATAGGGATGATATAATTTGCTCAAGGGTCACTCATTAGGAAGGGCAGAGTTGAACTTTAGGTTCAGGGCCTCTGTCTCACAGGTGTCCTGACTATTCTGTGATAACTCAAGGTCCAGCTGAGTTTAAGCTACAGGATGAGCAAACAGCTTCCAAGATTGCCTAGTCAGATGTCCTCTAGGAGTCTGGACTGACATTTCTTCCCCTAAATGGTAACTGGTGACCCTTACCAAGGTGACTTGTAGAGACTATGTGGTTCTAGGACTCCAGATTATATATTATGGGAACGTCCCAGGTGAAGCATTAACATTTGGGAACTTGGAGTTAACTGAGCTCCTGAGGGGCAGGGACCATGCCTTTGGTGAGACATGCCCAGGGCCTAGCAAGGATGTGGCCTAAGGACGGGCTTGGTAACATCTGTGGAACTTGAATGAAGAATAATTGGGCTCCATCAAGTCCTCCACACCTCATACCTCTCTACTGCTCCACCTGAGTGAAATTGTCTGCCATGCTCTGCCCACTCCTGTGACTTTCCTTGCAGTGGGCAAAGCAGAGCACATCTACTGTCAAAGGACTGAATTTTGATAGCAGGAAGAAAGTCAGTCCCTAAGCAGGTCTTCAAGATAGATATTAGAGCTGGGCATGGTGGCATGACTTTGTGATCCCAGCACTCTGGAGGCTGAGGAAGGAGGACTGAGAGTTCAAAGTCAGCCTGGGAAAATGATACTGTCCTGACTTCCAAATAAAACACCTTAGAAAAGCACCCACAGTATAGAAGACAGTGTGAAATCTCTTTCTCTGACCAGTTTTAAACACAAAAGAGGTTTATTTATCAGGGCAAGACACTCAAAAACCTAACTAAGGCATGGAATCCCTGAATGATGTTTTATACATATTATAGAATAGCCAAGAACTGAGAGAGAAAAAACAAAATGCAAAACTGTGTACACTAGGGGATAAAGGGATGACTCGGGTAAAAGGTACTGGCTGCCAAACATGACCTGAGTTCTATCCTTGGGAGCCACATGGTTGAAGGAGAGAATCAACTCCTGCAAATTGTCCTCTGACCTCCACATCTGTGCTGTGGCATTAAATAAATAAATAAATAAATAAATAAATAAATGCAATAAATTAAAAAAAAAAATCTGGGGCTAAAGAAATGACTCAGTGGTTATGAGCACTGACTGCTCTTGCAGAGGACCTGAGTTCAGTTCTCAGCACCCACATGGTGGCTAACAACCATCTGCAAATCCAGTTCCAAGGGATCGAATGCCCTCTTCTGGCCTCCACAGGCATTGCACAACACAGGTGAACTTATATACATACAGGCAAAACATACACAAAAAATAAAAAAATTTAATTTAATTTAAAAAATTTAAAAACTGTATAGACTAGAGAGATGACTGTTATATAGTAAAAATCTGGATTGTGAGTAGCCATCTTGGATTGATGGGTAGAAGCCATGCTGAGGGTGGAGATCTCTCTCCCCACCCCTGCAAGAGTTTGGTCCCTGATGGTTGTTGCAGTGCCAGCCTGGGCTGCTTAGCTCTGAATGTCATTTACCAAATAGAGAAATCAACATGCTTGAGCCATTGTTGCCTTGGGGTTTCTGTTATCCAGAGCTAAAACAATCAATGTAAGAGAGATTAAACTAAAACAACAGCAACAAGTTAAAAATAGTATATACAGTATGATTACAATTTTTTAAAATTATTATTTTTTGAGACAGGATCTCACTGTGTAGCTCTGACTGGCCTTGAACTTGCTATGTAGACCAGGCTGACCTCAAACTCACAGAGATCTGCCTGCCTCTGCCTCCAGAGTGTTGGGATTGTTTT